CATAATTAGTACCATGTCCATCTTCGAAGTTTCCTTCCTCCGTCAAGACAAAAGAGTCTTCTGGAGCGGGGGTAACTGGCGGATGGACCGGTGATCGACGGGAATTGGGCTTGTGTCGCTTGGTAGCCTGAAGGAATTCCGCCAGATCATCATCCATCGGTTGCAAAGCGGCAGGAGGTGCTACTGGAGGCACTGTCAACCTCTGTGTAACATAATCGTCAGGATCTTGGGCAGACGACGGCAGCGGGCGAGGGGTGTATTGCAAGTACGAGTCCGGAACCTCAGTTCCCGAATCTAAATCAAGCGTCTTGTACCATTTAGGGATACGACCATCCCATCCCTTGTCTTCATCCTCAAAAGGGAAGAGGTAGTTGACAAAGGCCTGACACTCAGGTGGTAACGTAATACCCAAGGCAGTAGGATAAGACTCCGCCAGGCGCATATTATGCATCCTGACCCAAGCACGCATCTTGAACCCAAGAGTCGACGTAGGTAAGGATCCACTTCTGTATATGAGTTGCATCAAGTGGCTCCGAAGGAAACGATCCATTTGTTCTTGGAATGGAGCTAGTAAGGCCACATCCAAAACACGGGCGTCGACTGGGTCATGCTCAGTGGGAAAGCAGGACCAAAACGGCAGAGCATCCACCACGGGTACCGCAAAACTTGCAGGGCTGGCCTTAACGGCATTGAACCAATTTTCAATGATAGTCTTCCTTGACGTCAATAGGTGAAGAAGACCAGTGAATATCTTTTTCCGATTGGTAATACTCTCGTGAAAGGCCTCGAAACCATCACTCGCCGGACAAATCCCACAGGACAAGCAGACATTGCTGGAAAGAACAGAATTTTCCAACCATCACGGTTGAAAGGTTTATTTCCAATCGCAGCTTCGTCTGTCATCAAAACGGGAAGGAGAGATTTTGAAAATTCGATACGATTGCCGGTTCCATAAGAGGCAAAAGTATGTCCGGACAGCGATCCCAAAAGACAATGGGTCCGTTTTGTAGGATCACCTACATACTTTTGCGCAATATCATTATTGACAATTTCCCCAAAGGGAGCCGGAGCTCCAAAAGTATTGGGTTCCATTACATCTGGCTTGGTCAAGACCGGATTGGAAATAAACATGATATGACACGGCTGTCCATCTTCTCCTTTCCTGACCAAAAGGGCAAAACCAGGAGACATTGTTTCTCCATTTCTCATGCGCTGGGCGAAAGTCAAAGTAGGATCGTTCCACTGGTCGAAAAGTTGCTCCAATTCCTCCATTCGTTGATCTTCTGGTTCAAAATCCTCGGGGCACGTCACCTGATATCCAGGTTTGGTGGTATCTGTGACAGGGTGGCCGAATGACTGATGAATGGTTTTATCCAAACGCATTCCTCGCCGAGAATTGATGATGTGATCATGGATGAGGGAATCTTGATGGGGCAGACCAGTGAGTTGATCCCAGAAGCTTTGTCCGCGGGTTCGGTGATCCGACGCGAAAGCATCAGTCAGGAACTTCATGATTAGGCTGCGATCAGGGGTGGCACGACGGAAAGGAGAAGACGGAGGAGCACTGAAGGTCAAGTGTGAAAGTGCGTGGGACGACAACAGACACAGGCAGTTTTCGTAGATCGCAACTGGGATCTACTACTCTTCACCGAGAACGCCAAAGAACTTGATGAAAGAGTATTGAAAGAAAGAAATAAACCTTATTTCTTGACGTATACTCGCACACAAGTTCGATAAACAGATTCTAAAACCGAAAGTGCGACAGTCCATCTTTCAAAAGGATCCACAGCATCCCATCTTTGATGGCTTGGATCAAATTCGTTTTCGTGCTCTTTTCGCGCTTGCCCTTGGTTGCGATGCATTGCCTGGAGGTATTGATGGTTTTGGAGCAAAGAAAGCAAGCATAATCAGATCAAAAATTGATTTCAGCGCGGACCCAGCAGTTGCCAAGGAAGAGTTACTGAAACATCTAGTGGCTGCTTCATTGATTTCAAAACCCAAGATTTACAGGCATGTTCCAGCAGGACTCACACGAGAAGACTTCATCTGCCTGTCAGACAGTCTCATCTACGAGCCAACACATAGTGGATACTTGACCGGCCACAAGCCAGCAGCATTAGAAAAATACAATATTGACTTTGCAGAGGAGGGTGCTGGTGTCGCATGCCGGAGCAATGGAGCAGCATCTGAGACTTGTAAGGGGTGCTTCTCTTACGGTCATCATGCTTTTCTAAAAGCCGAAGACGCACACCAGTGCAACTTTTGCAAACACCCAGTCTGCCGTTCTTGCCTTTGGGATCCGTCATTGCGAAACAAGAATACTCTGAAGAAAGAAACAAGGACATCAGTCCCAAATCAATCTACCCATAAAGAGATTGCCATCAATCCCGACTATAGGGCAGTACAAGTTTGCCTTGATGCACTAGAGGATGTTGAAGCTCTTTCACGGTTGCAATCAAAGGAACCACCAACATTCACTCCAATTGGTTTTGAGCTACTTGACTACCGTGTATCAAACACCGTACCATTGCATGAAAGAAAGAGTCCAGGATACAAGAAGGAGGTAGAGGACGCTAAAATTAGATTGAATTTGGCACTGCTCCACGCCAACAAGAAGAACAGCCGTGGTTATTGGAGGCGTTCGCAAGCTGAGCCAACAAAGCAAAGCCCCGTGTCCACAACTGTTATTTGTCCTCCTACAAAGCGACTGCGGCTCACAACTTCTGGTGGCAAAGAGAAGCGAAAACGACGTTGCTGCGCAAAGTGGTGCAACAACGTTGCATATCTTCCTCATACGGTGCCAATTGTAAGAAGACCAAAATTAGAGGGAGTTATTGACGGCGAAGATGAAGATGCTGCCAAGAAGCGCGCTGCAAAGAATGACTCAAAAATGATCAGGTGCAAACAGAGTGAATGCATTCGAAATGAAATACGTGAACGTCTGGGTCATCAAAGAGTTCCACCAAGAGGACAGGAAAATGCTGACATGCGCTACTGCGATGACCACCAAATGGAATGGGTGACAAACAAAAGCACCACTTGTAGACTGACGGATGGATCAACAAAATGTATCAGGGTTAAAGGTTTTATGGCACCAATTGGTACTGGGGGAAAAGGATTTCGTACCCCAACTAAAACTCTAAGCAAAGGTGTGAGTTCTGACAGACTACTGTTTCGGCAGATCCACGAAACAAAAACATGTAGCCAATTTGCATCGGCTATGCAGCAGCGCCACGAAGTGGAGGATGTTGTGCTGGGGAATCAGTCATGGGATGACATTAACAAGCGATTGATTGCAGCAGCAGGACTTGATGTACACTGTGGGAACACTGGCACACCAAAA